ACCAGGTATAGTGTGTGAAGAACAGTGTCACTACACCAGGTATAGTGTGTGAAGAACAGTGTCCCTACACCTGGTGTAGTGTGTGAAGAACAATGTCCCTACACCTGGTGTAGTATGTGAAGAACAATGTCCCTACACCAGGTATAGTGTGTGAAGAACAATGTCCCAACACCAGGTATAGTGTGTGAAGAACAATGTCCCTTCATCAGGTATAGTGTGTGAAGAACAATGTCCCAACACCAGGTATAGTGTGTGAAGAACAATGTCCCTTCATCAGGTATTGTGTGTGAAGAACAATGTCCCAACACCAGGTATAGTGTGTGAAGAACAATGTCCCTTCATCAGGTATTGTGTGTGAAGAACAATGCCCTTCATCAGGTATTGTGTGTGAAAGACAATTGTGGAGAAAATGAATTGTGGGATTTATATTTATTTAGTTTATATTAATTTATATAGTAATTTATATTTTATGTTAATTTATATTTTTCCATTGCAAACTATGATGTTTAAAGTGAACTGTATGCTTTAAAAGTTTCCACAAATCGCTTCCTTACACATTCTGTAGGGTTTATGTTTTATTTATGTAGTTATTGATTAGTAAACATTCAATACAGTATTAGCCTACATATATTAGTTGTTAAACAGGGAGGCCTTATCTTGTATGGCTGATTTTGGCCTAGACAACCTGTATGAACATGATGAACACTCCTCGGGGTTGAGGCTGACATCAACACATGTACTGGTGTACTAGGTAACTACTGTTAATTCTTCTTACTCTCCAATTACACCAGTCGAAGGGCACACAATAATAGTAATAACCTATATGACAGCTATATTAAGGGATAAGTTGACAATTATTTAAATAAAGGGATGAGAATATTGCTCAGCCTGTTTTGAGTCTCGACTCGTATCGTAACCGGCTCGCCTTCAGATACCTACATTACACTGATCAGGAATGAAAGATAAAAGGTTTCAGAAATAGGATACTTCCCTTGATAACAGACGAAGTTGTTTATAATGGGAGCACTATTAGTCCCGTAACACTGGTCCAATGGTAAATTATAAGAGCTAGATTAAACCCAGCGACACTCGTAAAAATTAAATTGCGACTGACTATGGCCCTCTCCCACTGACGTCTTGGATGTTTTGTCCAAATGTCGTCTAGAAGTGCAAGAAGGGGTCCTACATTTACTCTATTTCTGTACTGATAATTAAGTTGGTACAAGGAAAAAGTTTTTTTTTATGATGTTTGGAGTCCAAAGACTGCTATATTAAAAATAATTCCCAACAGAATTAGCAGGTGTACTTAATAGCGATGTGGCAATGATATCTTTGTTTTCTTTCTGAGGAAATTTCCACTGTGCCCACATTTTCTATGAGTTAATTTATTTATACAACCCAGCAGCAATATTATCTGCCTATTGTATTTAATGTTAGTAAATGGTGTCGGGTATTCCGACAACAATGTCCCTTCACAAGGTATAATGAGTGAAGGACAATGAACAATGTGGGTTTGGGAAATGCCGCTGCTGACTAATTTCTTTTAGTAAATTCGGAAATTGATTACAACCTTATCAGCATTCTTACATGTCTAATTAATTTCATAATATAATTATTCAGGTATATAAGTGAATGAAAGCCCTCAATTCGTTGTTTACAGAATAAATACTGATAATATCACACTTTAATAGCAGCTGCGTTAACATACTTGATATTAAATATAGAGATTAATAATGAGTAATAACTTAATTAACACAAGTAATCTTATGAGTAATTCAGTACTTACAGTTAGTTTATATAAATTCCTAATTCACTCAAACTAATTTTAATCACTGAAAGTAATTTATTGGGGTCAAAATTTTTAACGAAATGATTCGCATTAATAATTATAATCCAGCAGCATGTAGACAGCTTTGTCTCGTGCGTGACTTTGTAGTTCTTGCCAGGAATGTATCACCCTGATGTTGATGTTGTTGGTGCTGGTGTTCTTGTTGTTGTTGGTGATGTTGGTGCTAGTGTTCTAGTTGTTTCTGCTGGAGCTGTAAGTGCTAGTGATGTTGTTTGTGCTGATGTTGATGATGCTGGTGTTGTTGTTGGTGCTGGTGTGATTGTTGTTGGTGTTGTTAGTACTGGTGGGGGTGATGTTGGTGCTGGTGGGGGTGTTGTTGGTGCTGGTGGTGGTGTTGTTGGTGGGGGTGTGTTGGTGCTGTGTGGTGTTGTTGGTGATGTTGGTGCTGGTGGGGGTGTTGTTGGTGCTGGTGTGATTGTTGTTGGTGATGTTGTGTGTTGGTGCTGGTGGGGGTGTTGTTGGTGCTGGTGTGATTGTTGTTGGTGATGTTGGTGCTGGTGGGGGTGTTGTTGGTGCTGGTGTGATTGTTGTTGGTGTTGTTAGTGCTGGTGTTCTAGTTGTTTCTGCTGGAGCTGTAAGTGCTAGTGTTGTTGTTTGTGCTGATGTTGGTGATGCTGGTGTTGTTGTTGGTGCTGGTGTGATTGTTGTTGGTGTTGTTAGTACTGGTGGGGGTGTTGTTGGTGCTGGTGTGATTGTTGTTGGTGTTGTTGGTGATGTTGGTGCTGGTGGGGGTGTTGTTGGTGCTGGTGTGATTGTTGTTGGTGTTGTTGGTGATGTTGGTGCTGGTGTGATTGTTGTTGGTGTTGTTAGTACTGGTGGGGGTGTTGTTGGTGCTGGTGTGATTGTTGTTGGTGTTGTTGGTGATGTTGGTGCTGGTGGGGGTGTTGTTGGTGCTGGTGTGATTGTTGTTGGTGTTGTTGGTGATGTTGGTGCTGGTGGGGGTGTTGTTGGTGCTGGTGTGATTGTTGTTGGTGTTGTTGGTGATGTTGGTGCTGGTGGGTGTGTTGTTGTTGCTGGTGTGATTGTTTTTGGTGTTGGTGTGATTGGTGCTGTTGATTGTTGTTGTTGTTGGTGATGTTGGTGCTGGTGTGATTGTTGTTGTTGTTGTTGGTGCTGGTGTTCTTGTTGTTGTTGGTGCTGGTGTTCCTGTTGTTGTTGGTGTTGTTAGTGTTTGTGTTCTAGTTGTTTCTGCTGGAGCTGTAAGTGCTAGTGATGTTGTATGTGCTGATGTTGTTGGTGCTGGTGGGGGTGTTGTTGGTGCTGGTGTGGTTGTTGTTGCTGTTGGTGCTGTTGTTGTTGGTGCTGGTGTTGTTGGTGCTGGTGTGGTTGTTGTTGGTGCTGGTGTTGTTGTTGCTGGTGTTGTTGGTGCTGGTGTGGTTGTTGGTGCTGGTGTTGTTGGTGCTGGTGTTGTGGTGGCTGTTGGTGCTGGTGTTGTTGGTGCTGGTGTTGTTGGTGTTGGTGTTGTTCGTGCTGGTGTTGTTGGTGCTGGTGTTGTTGGTGCTGGTGTGGTTGTTGTTGGTGCTGGTGTTGTTGTTGTTGGTGCTGGTGTTGTTGGTGCTGGTGTTGTTGGTGCTGGTGTGGTTGTTGGTGCTGGTGTTGTTGGTGCTGGTGTTGTTTATGGTGGTACTGGAGTTATTGGTGCTGGTGTTGTTGGTGCTGGTGTTGTTGGTGTTGGTGTTGTTCGTGCTGGTGTGGTTGTTGTTTGTGTTGTTGGTGCTGGTGTTATTGGTGCTGGTGTTGTTGTTGTTGGTGCTGGTGTTGTTGGTGCTGGTGTTGTTGGTCCTAGTGTGGTTGGTGCTGGTGTTGTTGGTGTTGGTGTTGTTGGTGCTGGTCTTGGTGCTGGTGTTGTTGGTGTTGTTGGTGCTGGTGTGGTTGTTGTTGGTGCTGGTGTGTTTGTTGTTGGTACTGGTGTTCTTGTTGTTCGTTGTGCTAGTGTTGTTGGTGCTGGTGTGGTTGTTGTAGTCGCTGGTGTTGTTGATGCTGATGTTATTGGTGCTAGTGTTGTTGATGCTGGTGTTGTTGGTGCTGGTGTTGTTGGTGCTGGTGTGGTTGTTGTTGGTGCTGCTATTGTTGTTGTTGGTGCTGGTGTTGTTGGTGCTGGTGTTGTTGGTGCTGGTGTGGTTGTTGGTGCTGTTGTTGGTGCTGGTGTTGTTGGTGCTGGGTTGTTGTTGGTGCTGGTGTTGTTGGTGCTGTGTGTTGTTGTTGGTGCTGGTGTTGTTTTGGTGGTACTGGTGTGGTTGGTGCTGGTGTTGTTGGTGTTGGTGTTGTTGGTGCTGGTGTGTTGGTGCTGGTGTTGTTGGTGTTGGTGTTGTTGGTACTGGTGCTGGTGTTGTTGGTGCTGGTGTGGTGTTGTTGGTGCTGGTGTTGTTGTTGTTGTTGCTGGTGTGTTGTTGTTGTGCTGGTGTTGTTGGTGCTGGTGTGGTTGTGTGGTGCTGGTGTTGTTTATGGTGATGTTATTGGTGCTGGTGTTGTTGGTGCTGGTGTTGTTGGTGTTGTTGGTGCCGGTGTGCTTCTTGTTCGTACTGGTGTTGTTGATGTTGGTGCTGGTGTTGTTGTTGTTAGTGTTGCTATTATTGATGTTGGTGTTGTTGGAGTTGGTGTTGTTGGTGCTGGTGTGTTGGTGCTGTTGTGTGTTGTTGGTGCTGGTGTTGTTGTTGTTGGTGCTGGTTCTTGTTGTTGGTGCTGGTGTTGTTGGTGCTGGTTTGGTTGTTGTAGGTACTGGTGTTGTTATTGTTGGTGCTGATGTTGTTGGTGCTAGTGTGGTTGTTGTTGGGTGTATGAGTGTTGTTGGTGCTGGTGTTGTTGTTGGTGGTGCTAGTGTTGATGGTGTTGTTGTTGGTGCTGGTGTTGTCGGTGTTGTTGTTGGTGTTGGTGGTGCTAGTGTTGTCGGTGCTGGTGTTGTTGTTGTTGTTGGGGCTGGTGTTGTTGTTGATGGTGCTGGTGTTGTTGGTGCTGATGTGGTTCTTGTTGGCGCTGCTGTTGTTGACGACGGCGTTATTGGGGCTAGTGTTGTTGGTGCAGGCGTTGTAGTTGTTGGTGCTGGTGTTGTTGGTGCTGGTGTTGTTGAGGTTTTGTTGGTGCTGAAGTTGGTGCTTGTTGGTGCTGGTGTGGTTGTTGTTGTTGTTGGTGTTGTTGTTGTTGGTGCTGGTGTTGTTGGTGTTGGTGTTGTTGGTGCTGGTGTTGTTGTTGTTGTTGTTGTTGTTGTTGTTGTTGTTGATGTTGTTGGTGCTGGTGTGGTTGGTGCTGGTGTTGTTGGTAGTTTTGTTGGTGCTGGTGTGGTTGGTGCTGGTGTTGTTGGTGGTTTTGTTGGTGCTGATGTTGTTAGTGATGTTGTGGTTGTTGTTGGTGCTAGTGTTGTTAGTTTTGTTGGTGTTGGTGTTGTTGGTGCTGGGTTGTTGGCGCTGGTGTTGTTGTTGCTGGTGTTGTTTTGTTAGTGATGGTCTGGTTAGTGCTGGTGTTGTTGTTGTTGGTGCTGGTATTGTTGGTCCTAGTGAGGTTGTTATTGATGCTAGTGTTGTCGATGCTGGTGTTATTGGTGCTGACGTTGTTGTTGTTGGTGCTGGTGATGTCGGTGTTGTTGTTGGGGTTGTTGGTGCTGGTGTGGTTGTTGTTGGTATGGGTGTTGTTGTTGTTAGTGTTGCTATTGTTGATGTTGGTGTTTTTGGTACTGGTGTTGTTAGTGCTGGTGTGGTTGTTGTTGGTGATGGTGTTGTTGGTGATGGTGTTGTTGTTGTTGGTGCTGTTGTTGTTGGTGCTGGTGTTGTTGGTGCTGGTGTTGTTGGTGCTGGTGTTGTTGTTGGTACTGGTGTGGTTGTTGTTGGTACTGGTGTGGTTGTTGTTGGTGCTTGTGTTGTTGTTGTTGGTTCTGGTGTTGTTGGTGCTAGTGTTGTTGATGTCGGTGCTGGTGTTGTTAGCGCTGGTGTGGTTGTGGTAGGTGCTGGTGTGTTTATTGTTGTTGTTGTTGTTGTTGTTGGAGCTGGTGTTATTAGTGCTGGTGTGGTTGTTGTTGGTGCTGGAGTCGTTGTTATTGGTGCTGGTGTTGTTGGTGCTGGAGATGTTGTGGTTAGTGCTGGTGTTATTGGTGCTGGTGTGGTTGTTGTTGGCACTGGTGTTGTTGATGCTGGTGTTGTTGGTGCAGGCGTTGTTGTTGTTGCTGGTGTTGGTGTTGTTGGTGCTAGTGTTGTTGGTGTTGTTGTGGTTGTTGTTGGTGTTGGTGATGTTGGTGCTGGTGTTGTTGTTGGTATTGGTGTTGTGGTTGGTACTGGTGTTGTGGGTGCTGGAGTTGTTGTTGTTGGTGCTGGTTTGGTTGTTGTTGGTGTTGGTGATGTTGGTGCTGGTGTTGTTGTTGGTATTGGTGTTGTGGTTGGTACTGGTGTTGTTGGTGCGGTTGTGGTTGTTGATGGTGCTGGAGTTGTTGTTGTTGGTGCTGGTTTGGTTGTTGTTGGTGTTGGTGATGTTGGTGCTGGTGTTGTTGTTGGTGGTGGTGGTGCTGGTGTTGTTGATGCTGGTGTTGTTGTTGTTGGTGCTGGTGTTGTTGGTGCTGGTGTTGTTGTTGTTGGTGCTGGTGTCGTTGTTGTTGGTGCTGGTGATGTTGTTGGTGTTGGTGCTGGTGTTGTTGGTGCTGGTGTCGTTGTTGTTGGTGCTGGTGATGTTGTTGGTGTTGGTGCTGGTGTTGTTGTTGATGGTGTTGGTGTTGTTGGTGCTGGTATGGTTGGTGTTGGTGCTGGTGTTGTTGTTGTTGGTGTTGTTGTTGTTGGTGTTGGTGTTGTTGGTGCTGGTGTGGTTGTTGTTGGTACTGGTGTTCTTGTTGTTCGTTGTGCTAGTGTTGTTGGTGCTGGTGTGGTTGTTGTAGGCGCTGGTGTTGTTGATGCTGATGTTATTGGTGCTAGTGTTGTTGGTGCTGGTGTTGTTGGTGTTGTTGGTGCCGGTGTGCTTCTTGTTCGTACTGGTGTTGTTGATGTTGGTGCTGGTGTTGTTGTTGTTAGTGTTGCTATTATTGATGTTGGTGTTGTTGGAGTTGGTGTTGTTGGTGCTGGTGTGGTTGGTGCTGTTGTGGTTGTTGTTAGTGCTGGTGTTGTTGATGTTGGTGCTGGTGTTCTTGTTGTTGGTGCTGGTGTTGTTGGTGCTGGTTTGGTTGTTGTAGGTACTGGTGTTGTTATTGTTGGTGCTGATGTTGTTGGTCCTAGTGTGGTTGTTGTTGGAGCTGGTATGAGTGTTGTTGGTGCTGGTGTTGTTGTTGGTGGTGCTAGTGTTGATGGTGTTAGTATTGTTGGTGCTGGTGTTGTCGGTGTTGTTGTTGGTGTTGGTGGTGCTAGCGTTGTCGGTGCTGGTGTTGTTGTTGTTGTTGGGGCTGGTGTTGTTGTTGATGGTGCTGGTGTTGTTGGTGCTGATGTGGTTCTTGTTGGCGCTGCTGTTGTTGACGACGGCGTTATTGGGGCTAGTGTTGTTGGTGCAGGCGTTGTAGTTGTTGGTGCTGGTGTTGTTGGTGCTGGTGTTGTTGAGGTTTTGTTGGTGCTGGAGTTGGTCTTGTTGGTGGTGGTTTGGTTGTTGTTGTTGTTGGTGTTGTTGGTGCTGGTGTTGTTGTTGTTGGTGTTGGTGTTGTGGTTGTTGTTGTTGTTGTTGTTGTTGTTGTTGTTGTTGTTGTTGATGTTGTTGGTGCTGGTGTGGTTGGTGCTGGTGTTGTTGGTAATGTTGTTGGTGCTGGTGTGGTTGGTGCTGGTGTTGTTGGTGCTTTTGTTGGTGCTGGTGTTGTTGGCGGTGTTGTGGTTGTTGTTGGTGCTAGTGTTGTTAGTTTTGTTGGTGTTGGTGTTGTTGGTGCTGGGTTGTTGGCGCTGGTGTGGTTGTTGTTCGTGCTGATTTGTTAGTGATGGTCTGGTTAGTGCTGGTGTTGTTGTTGTTGGTGCTGGTGTTGTTGGTCCTAGTGAGGTTGTTATTGATGCTAGTGTTGTTGGTGCTGGTGTTATTGGTGCTGGTGTTGTTGGTGTTGGTGCTGGTGATGTCGGTGTTGTTGTTGGGGTTGTTGGTGCTGGTGTGGTTGTTGTTGGTATGGGTGTTGTTGTTGTTAGGTTGTTGTTGATGTTGGTGTTGGTGTGGTTGTTGTTGGTACTGGTGTGGTTGTTGTTGGTGCTGGTGTTGTTGGTGATGGTGTTGTTGTTGTTGGTGCTGTTGTTGTTGGTGCTGGTGTTGTTGGTGCTGGTGTTGTTGGTACTGGTGTTGTTGTTGGTACTGGTGGTGGTTGTTGTTGGTACTGGTGTGGTTGTTGTTGGTGCTTGTGTGTTGTTGTTGTTGGTTCTGGTGTTGTTGGTGCTAGTGTTGTTGTTGATGTGGTGCTGGTGTTGTTAGCGCTGGTGTGGTTGTGGTAGGTGCTGGTGTGTTTATTGTTGTTGTTGTTGTTGTTGTTGGAGCTGGTGTTATGCTGGTGCTGGTGTCGTTGTTATTGGTGCTGATGTTGTTGGTGCTGAGATGTGAGGTTGTTATTGGTGCTGGTGTGGTTGTTGTTGGCACTGGTGTTGTTGGTGCAGGTGTTGTTGTTGTTGCTGGTGTTGGTGTTGTTGGTGCTAGTGTTGTTGTTGGTATTGGTGTTGTGGTTGGTACTGGTGTTGTTGGTGCGGTTGTGGTTGTTGTTGGTGCTGGTGTTGTTGTTGTTGGTGCTGGTGTTGTTGTTGTTGGTGCTGGTTTGGTTGTTGTTGGTGTTGGTGATGTTGGTGCTGGTGTTGTTGTTGGTGGTGGTGCTGGTGTTGTTGGTGCTGGTGTTGTTGATGTTGGTGCTGGTGTTGTTGGTGCTGGTGTTGTTGTTGTTGGTGCTGGTGTTGTTGTTGTTGGTGCTGGTTTGGTTGTTGTTGGTGTTGGTGATGTTAGTGCTGTTGTTGTTGCTGGTGGTGGTGGTGGTGCTGGTGTTGTTGATGCTGGTGTTGTTGATGTTGGTGCTGGTGTTGTTGGTGCTGGTGTTGTTGTTGTTGGTGCTGGTGTTGTTGTTGTTGGTGCTGGTGATGTTGTTGGTGTTGGTGCTGGTGTTGTTGGTGCTGGTGTCGTTGTTGTTGGTGCTGGTGTGTTGTTGGTGTTGGTGCTGGTGTTGTTGTTGTTGGTGTTGGTGTTGTTGGTGCTGGTGTGGTTGGTGTTGGTGCTGGTGTTGTTGTTGTTGGTGTTGTTGTTGTTGGTTCTGGTGTGGTTGTTGTTGGTGCTGGTGTTGTTGTTGTTGGTGCTGGTTTTGTCGGTGTTGGTGTTGGTGTTGTTGGTGCTGGTGTTGTTGGTACTGGTGTGGTTATTGTTATTTCTGGTGTTGTTGGTGCTGGTGTTGTTTGCGGTTGTGGTTGTTGTTGGTGCTGATGTTGTTGTTGTTGGTGCTGGTGTTGTTGGTGCTGGTGTTGTTGGTGCTGGTGTTGTTGGTGCTGGTGTTGTTGGTGCTGGTGTTGTTGGTGCTGGTGTTGTTGGTTCTGGTGTTGTTGGTGCTGTTGTTGTTGTTGGTTCGGGTGTGGTTGTTGTTGATACTGGTGTTGTTGTTGGTGGTGCTTGTATTGTTGTTGATGGTGCTAGTGTTGCGGGTGTTGGTGTTTTTGCCGTCGGTGCTGGTGTTGTTGGTGCTGGTGTTGTTGGTGTTAGTGTTGTCGGTGTTGGTGTTGGTGTTGTTGGTGATGGTGTTGTTGGTGATGGTGTTGCTGGTGCTGGTGTGGTTGGTGCTGGAGTTGTTGGTGATGTTGTTGGTGCTGGTGTTGTTGGTAAAGGTGTTGTTGGTGTTGGTGATGTTGGTGGTGGTGTTGTTGTTGCTGGTGGTGGTGGTGCTGGTGTTGTTGATGCTGGTGTTGTTGATGTTGGTGCTGGTGTTGTTGGTGCTGGTGTTGTTGTTGTTGGTGCTGGTTTGGTTGTTGTTGGTGTTGGTGATGTTAGTGCTGTTGTTGTTGGTGGTGGTGGTGGTGCTGGTGTTGTTGATGCTGGTGTTGTTGGTGCTGGTGTTGTTGGTGCTGGTGTTGTTGGTGCTGGTGCTGGTGTTGTTGGTGCTGATGTTGTTGGTGTTTGTGTTGGTGGTGATGATGTTGTTGTTGGTGCTGGTGATGTTGGTGATGGTGTTGTTTGTGCTGGTGTTGTTGGTGGTGATGTTATTGGTGCTGGTGTTGTTGGTGATGATGTTGTTGGTGGTGCTGGTGTTGTTGGTGATGATGTTGTTGGTGGTGCTGGTGTTGTTGGTGTTGGTTTGGTTGTTGGTGGTGCTGGTGTTGTTGGTGGTGATGTTATTGGTGCTGGTGTTGTCGGTGTTGGTGTTGGTGCTGTTGGTCCTGGTGATGTTCGTGCTGGTGTTGTTGGTGCTGGTGTGGTTTGTGCTGGTGTTGTTGGTGATGGAGTTTTTGGTGCTGGTGTTGTTAGTGATGGTGTTGTTGGTGCTGGTGTTGGTGTTGTTGGTGATGGTGTTGTTGGTGCTGGTGTTGTTAGTGATGGTGTTGTTGGTGCTGGTGTTGGTGTTGTTGGTGATGGTGTTGTTGGTGCTGGTGTTGTTGGTGCTGGTGTTGTTGGTGCTGGTGTTGTTGGTGCTGGTGTTGTTGGTGCTGGTGTTGTTGGTGATGGTGTTGTTAGTGATGGTGTTGTTGGTGCTGGTGTCGTTGGTGATGGTATTGTTGGTGCTGGTGTTGTTGGTGCTGGTGTTGTTGGTGCTGGTGTTGTTGGTGGTGGTGTTGTTGGTGCTGGTGTTGTTGGTGCTGGTGTTGTTGGTGCTGGTGTTGTTAGTTCTGGTGTTGTTGGTGCTGTTGTTGTTGTTGGTTCGGGTGTTGTTGTTGGTGGTGCTTGTATTGTTGTTGATGGTGCTAGTGTTGCGGGTGTTGGTGTTTTTGCCGTCGGTGCTGGTGTTGTTGGTGCTGGTGTTGTTGGTGTTAGTGTTGTCGGTGTTGGTGTTGGTGTTGTTGGTGATGGTGTTGTTGGTGATGGTGTTGCTGGTGCTGGTGTGGTTGGTGCTGGAGTTGTTGGTGATGTTGTTGGTGCTGGTGTTGTTGGTAAAGGTGTTGTTGGTGTTGGTGATGTTGGTGCTGGTGTTGTTGTTGTTGGTGGTGGTGGTGCTGGTGTTATTGATGCTGGTGTTGTTGATGTTGGTGCTGGTGTTGTTGGTGCTGGTGTTGTTGTTGTTGGTGCTGGTTTGGTTGTTGTTGGTGTTGGTGATGTTAGTGCTGTTGTTGTTGGTGGTGGTGGTGGTGCTGGTGTTGTTGATGCTGGTGTTGTTGATGTTGGTGCTGATGTTTTTGGTGCTGGTGTTGTTGGTGCTGGTGTTGTTGGTGCTGGTGTTGTTGGTGCTGGTGTTGTTGGTGCTGGTGCTGGTGTTGTTGGTGCTGATGTTGTTGGTGTTTGTGTTGGTGGTGATGATGTTGTTGTTGGTGCTGGTGATGTTGGTGATGGTGTTGTTTGTGCTGGTGTTGTTGGTGGTGATGTTATTGGTGCTGCTGTTGTTGGTGATGATGTTGTTGGTGGTGCTGGTGTTGTTGGTGATGATGTTGTTGGTGGTGCTGGTGTTGTTGGTGCTGGTTTGGTTGTTGGTGGTGCTGGTGTTGTTGGTGGTGATGTTATTGGTGCTGGTGTTGTCGGTGTTGGTGTTGGTGCTGTTGGTCCTGGTGATGTTCGTGCTGGTGTTGTTGGTGCTGGTGTGGTTTGTGCTGGTGTTGTTGGTGATGGAGTTTTTGATGCTGGTGTTGTTGGTGATGGTGTTGTTGGTGGTGGTGTTGGTGTTGTTGGTGATGGTGTTGTTGGTGATGGTGTTGTTAGTGATGGTGTTGTTGGTGCTGGTGTTGGTGTTGTTGGTGATGGTGTTGTTGGTGCTGGTGTTGTTGGTGCTGGTGTTGTTGGTGCTGGTGTTGTTAGTGATGGTATTGTTGGTGCTGGTGTTGTTGGTGGTGGTGCTGTTGCTGCTGGTGTTGTTGGTGCTGGTGTTGTTGGTGCTGGTGTTGTTAGTGGTGGTATTGTTGGTGCTGGTGTTGTTGGTGGTGGTGTTGTTGCTGCTGGTGTTGTTGGTGCTGGAGTTTTCGGTGTTGCTGTTAGTAATGGTGTTGTATGTTGTGGTGTGTGTATGGACGGGGTTGTTGTTCTAGGTGGTGATGACGGTGGCGTGGAGGCGCCACACTCCGGCGCCAGGCAACAGCACCCCCGGCCCGCTACCACTGTACACCGCGTGACGTAGCCAGGCGGCTGTGGAAGACAAGTTAACAAAATTTTATAATGAAAATGAGAATTTTTCATACAAACAAATACCTTTTGAGTGTGTAACACATAATATACAAACATTAAACATTATTGCCAAGGATCCTCCCACCAGTTGTGTTCTCTCAACCAAGGTCCTCCCACCAGTTGTGTTCTCTCAACCAACATCCTCCCACCAGTTGTGGCGTTCTCTCAACCAAGATCCTCCCACCAGTTGTGATGTTCTCTCAACCAAGATCCTCCCACTAGTTGTGTTCTCTCAACCAAGATCCTCCCACCAGTTGTGGCGTTCTCTCAACCAAGATCCTCCCACTAGTTGTGTTCTCTCAACCAAGATCCTCCCACCAGTTGTGTTCTCTCAACCAAGATCCTCCCACCAGTTGTGGCGTTCTCTCAACCAAGATCCTCCCACTAGTTGTGTTCTCTTAACCAAGATCCTCCCACCAGTTGTAGTGTTCTCTCAACCAAGATCCTCCCACCAGTTGTGGCGTTCTCTCAACCAAGATCCTCCCACCAGTTGTGGTGTTCTCTCAACCAAGATCCTCCCACCAGTTGTGGTGTTCTCTCAACCAAGATCCTCCCACCAGTTGTGATGTTCTCTCAACCAAGATCCTCCCACCAGTTGTAGTGTTCTCTCAACCAAGATCCTCCCACCAGTTGTGGTGTTCTCTCAACCAAGATCCTCCCACCAGTTGTGTTCTCTCAACCAAGATCCTCCCACCAGTTGTAGTGTTCTCTCGACCAAGATCCTCCCACCAGTTGTGGTGTTCTCTCAACCAAGATCCTCCCACCAGTTGTGGTGTTCTCTCAACCAAGATCCTCCCACCAGTTGTGATGTTCTCTCAACCAAGATCCTCCCACCAATTGTAGTGTTCTCTCAACCAAGATCCTCCCACCAGTTGTAGTGTTCTCTCAACCAAGATCCTCCCACCAGTTGTGGTGTTCTCTCAACCAAGATCCTCCCACCAGTTGTGGCGTTCTCTCAACCAAGATCCTCCCACCAGTTGTGGCGTTCTCTCGACCAAGATCCTCCCACCAGTTGTGGTGTTCTCTCAACCAAGATCCTCCCACCAGTTGTGGTGTTCTCTCAACCAAGATCCTCCTACCAGTTGTAGTGTTCTCTCAACCAAGATCCTCCCACCAGTTGTAGTGTTCTCTCAACCAAGGTCCTCCCACCAGTTGTGGTGTTCTCTCAACCAAGATCCTCCCACCAGTTGTGGTGTTCTCTCAACCAAGATCCTCCCACCAGTTGTAGTGTTCTCTCAACCAAGATCCTCCCACCAGTTGTGGTGTTCTCTCAACCAAGATCCTCCCACCAGTTGTGGTGTTCTCTCAACCAAGATCCTCCCACCAGTTGTGGTGTTCTCTCAACCAAGATCCTCCCACCAGTTGTGGCGTTCTCTCAACCAAGATCCTCCCACCAGTTGTGACGTTCTCTCGACCAAGATCCTCCCACCAGTTGTAGTGTTCTCTCAACCAAGATCCTCCCACCAGTTGTGGCGTTCTCCCGACCAAGATCCTCCCACCAGTTGTGGCGTTCTCTCGACCAAGATCCTCCCACCAGTTGTAGTGTTCTCTCAACCAAGATCCTCCCACCAGTTGTGGCGTTCTCCCGACCAAGATCCTCCCACCAGTTGTGGTGTTCTCTCAACTAAGTAAGTAAGTAATTATCAAAAGAAGGCACCAAACCAGGAAGGCTATGTAGTACCATTAAAGTGCGAAATAATCAGAAGGCGCTAAATATCACCAAGAATGCCAATACGAGAACTGAAACGCATAAGGCGAACGATGTCAAAAGTATCCAATTCACCAAGAATTCTATTGAGGGACAAGTGACCGCGAGGGACGGTCGGAAAGCAAGACACACGCTCGTCCTGGAAGTCAGGACATTCAACAAGGATATGCACATCTGTAAGAGGGACAACGCAATTTGGACAATAAGGAGCAGGGCGGCGCTCCATTAAGTGACCATGAGTTAAGCAAGTATGGCCAATATGCAACCTTGCTAGAGCCGTTTCCCACCGCCGGTTACGGTGGCAGGAGGAAGTTCACGGGGACACACTACGTTTGAGAGTTCGCAGCTTGTTACCAACTACAAAAGACCAACAACCCTGCCATCGGGCAAGGATGGAGGAATGAATAACTGCATAAAAGTTGAATAAGGAATACCTTTACGGGAAACGGGGCAATAACAGATAGCTTCTCTAGTGGTAGCATCCGCACGCTCATTTAAAGAAACACCAATATGGCTGGGAACCCAGCAAAACTCTACTGATTTAAATTTACTAGAGATAAGAAACAGCCAATGTTGAATCTCGATGACCACCGGATGGACATGATTAAAGGACCCTAGAGCCACAGGGGCACTACGCGAGTCAACTACAACTACAAAGGAGGATTGACAGTGAGAGAGCAAGAGACGGAGAGCATAATAGCATAAAGTTCTGTTGTGAAGACGCTAGCCTCCGAAGGGAGGTGACACATTTAAGTGCGGTCAGGAAAAACAACAGAGTAGCTTACACCGTTCGCAAACTTAGACCCATCGGTGAAGATGGAAACGGAGAGGGAGTGCGAAGAAAAGTGTTCAAGGAAACGGCGTTTCAGAACCGTAGGAGGGGTACTAGCTCAAGTGATGAGGGTCAAGGATGTACAAAACTTTGGAAGGGGGACTCTCCACAGTGGTAAGAAAGGAACAATACGAGGAGCAACGTTAGAAATACGAACGGAAAGAGAATCCTGTAAGCGAGATAGTCGGAAAGAAGGAGGGAGGCGTTGAAGAGGAATAGGAACCACAGGAGGGGTAAAAGTCAAATCACGATAGAGGCGAGAGAAAGGATGTTGTAAGGACCGCACAAGATAGTGAAGACAGTAGCGATCATGGCGGTCCTGGAGAGATAGGAAACCAGTGTCAACATACAAGCTGAGGGCGGGAGTCGAACGAAAGGCACCAGAGCTGAGACGCAACTCAGTATGGTGTAAAGCATCAAGGCGGCGAAGAGTAGAAGGAGAAGCAGAAGAGTATGCAGGGCAACCATAATCGGGTTTAGACAGGACGAAAGAGGAGTGCAAATAGAGGAGTGTGCGCTTATCCACTCCCCAAGAAGTATGGGACAAAGCACTTAAGAAGATTAAGGGCCTTAGAACATTCAACTCGGAGGTAAGAGATATAGGGCGACCAAGACAAACGAGCGTCAAAGATTAACCCCAAAAGCTTAGCGGAATCCCTGTACATAAGGGGATGACCATAGAGCGACAAAGAGGAACGAAGAACGACATGCTTCTGAGTAAAAGTCATAGCATAAGTCTTAGACGCAGAAAACTTGAAGCCATTATCGGTGGCCCAAGGCGATACGGCATCAATCGCAAGTTGAAGCCGCCGTTGAAGGAGAGGCGAATCATCACCCTGACAACAAAGGGTAAGATCGTCAACATAGAGAGCGGAGAACACGACAGAAGGAAGAGAGGAAAGAAGACCATTGAGGGCAACTAGAAAAAGAGTAGTGCTCAGAACACTACCCCTGAGGTACACCCTCATACTGCCTAAAAGGGGCAGAGAGAGTGGTACCAAGCCTCACACGAAAGAAACGACGAGAGAGGAAACTTTGAAGGAAGAGAGGGATATTCCCACGAAGGCCAAAAGAATGAAGTTGGGACAGATAATGATACCGTCAGGTAGTGTTGTAAGCCTTTTCCAGGTCAAAAAGGACGGCAACAACGGAGGTCTTCGCAGCAAAAGCAGTACGAATATAGTCCTCCAAGTTCACCAGAACGTCCGTTATGCTGCGGCATTTGCGAAAACCAAATTGAGAAGGGGAGAGGAGGTGAAAGTGCTCTAAGAATCACATCAGACGAACGTTGACCATACGTTCAAAGAGCTTGCAGACACAACTCGTGAGGGCAACAGGGCGGAAGTCCTTGGGGGAAGACCCCGAGAGACCCTAGTTTCCGAACAGGGAGGACAACAGCATCGAGCCAGTCCTCAGGGACTGACGACTCCTAGACCCGGTATTTCAGACTCGGGTCTGGGAGTCGGGTTTTAGACGTGCACGGAGGGAGATGGCGAAGCATCTCATAATGAATGTCATCGGAGCTCGCCGCCGTAGAACCGCAGAGGGCCAGGGCAGACTGAAGCTCAGAGAGAGACAAGGGATCGTTATAGGGAAGGCGAAGATGGGTACAGAAATCTAAAGGACGAGATTCAAGAATAGGCTTACGAAGAAGGAAGGATTGGGGAAGATGAGAACTAGAGCTAACAGACGAAATGTGGGAACCCAATTTGGTCGAGACCAGCAACGGGTCTGCCACTAGAGCACCACGGAGGCGAAGGACCGGCGAGACATCGGGAACGAACTTACCCGCAATCTTGCATATACGCTTCCAGACCAGTGTCAGAGGAGTTTCGGAAGTAACAGTGGAGACATAAGACATCCAGCACGCACGTTTAGCCGTACGGATGGTCCTAAGGGCCTCAGCACTCGACTTCCGAAACACAAGAAAAGACTCAACCGTCTGACGGCGGCGGCGTCTCTTTCAGGCTGCACGCTTACAGCGGACAGCCCGAGCACAGTCCGCATTCCACCAGGGAACGCACTTCCGCGTTCCTCTAGAGGAAAAGCGAGGAATAGAGCGGAGGGCAGCGTCAAAGACAGTGTCATGAAAAAGAAGGAGGGGCATAGAGGGAGAGACAGAACGGAGAGGTCGGAAATAGTAGTACGGAGAGTAAAGAGGCGCGAGTAAGCCTCGGCAAACTGCCACCTACGGAAGGAGAGAAGAGGGTGAAAAGAGAAAAAGGTAACAAGGATGTGGAAATGGTTACTACCATGGAGGTCATCAAGACACCCGCCACTCGAAATCAAAGTAAAGGGATTCAAGTACTAAAAAAAGCACAGAGAAAAATCGAGACAGTAAAGGGAGCGAGTCCAAGAGTCCAAATGAGTGGGCTCGCCAGAATTCAGAAGAGACAGGGAAGAAGAGAGCATGAAAGGTTCAAGGAGGCGACCCCGGGTGTTTGTCAGCACATCACCCCAAAGGGCATGTCGACAATTGAAATCACCCAGCAGGAGTACAGGCTCCGGCAAGGAGTCCAGGAGGTGTTTAAAATCAGGAAGAGAAAGTGGGACAGTGGGGGGGGGGGAAGATAAATGGAACAAGCCGTGTACCATTTAAGCACAAAAACACGGGCAGCAGAACAGTGGAGAGGCGATGAAAAAAGTAAGGGACGAAGGGAACATCAGAGCGAATCTCTCAACGAAGATCCTCCCACCAGTTGTGGTGTTCTCTCAACCAAGATCAAGCGTTTACGCATCATTCTAAATTTGAAGGTCCTACAACTTTATTTGAACTTGAGTTACAAGATTGAGACTACCCAGAGCAGCTAACTACACCACATGATAATAAGCAAAGAATGAATGAAACTGCAAAAACTAGAAAATTGGAAAAGTTCAAACTGGAAAAGATTATCAAGGCAAATAATGGGTGGTGTCCTTCGGTAAGCCGCCGGCTTCCTGTCCTCGTCGAGGCCACTGGTGTTAGTGGCCCTCAGGTAAATCAGATAAATTGGAAGGTCCCCCGAAGTATCTCTTATTTATAGACAGTAACTACACACTTGCTCCGAGGATTCTAGTTCATGCATATTTAACATTTATTTAACCCGGCGATAATTTCTATATACATTGAAGTACTTCCTGAAGGCGTTTAACTCATTATCTTGTACATTGGCTAAAGTTCAACTACATAGTGGAACTAATTAGCGTCTAATAAATGCAAGAAAAGTCTTAGAGTCAGGTCATGTATCTTATTTCTTCTTTTGCATCCAGTGAATCCTGGGCGCCTAGGTTCTATTTATTTTTTCGTTCAATGGTTGAATTCTATGCACTATTGATTATTAAAAATTTATGCAATGATTTCTTGCCTTAATATTACTACCATCCCGACATTCATATTTTGCTATTTAATTATATATGAGCTGGAATCTGATTAATATTGAACCATCAAAGAATGTTTTCATCATAAAAAACATCAAATTGATCAACTCATGCACCAAGAACGCAAGAACCAACAACACCAGAACCCATAACTCCAGAACTAACCATTCAAGAACCAACCTCTCTAGAACCAACCACTTTAAAAACAACACCAGAATCAATCCACTCAAAAACCAACTGCTCCATAACCAACAACAACAACAGAACCAGCCACTCCAGAACCAACAACAACAGAACCAACCACTCCAGAACCAACCACTCCAGAACCAGCCACTCCAGAACCAACCACTCCAGAACCAGCCACTCCAGAACCAACCACTCCAGAACCAACAACAACAGAACCAACCACTCCAGAACCAACAACAACAGAACCAGCCACTCCATAACCAACAACAACAGAACCAACCACTCCAGAACCAGCCACTCCAGAACCAACCACTCCAGAACCAACCACTCCAGAACCAACCACTCCAGAACCAGCCACTCCAGAACCAACCACTCCAGAACCAGCCACTCCAGAACCAACCACTCCAGAACCAACAACAACAGAACCAACCACTCCAGAACCAACAACAACAGAGCCAGCCACTCCAGAACCAACAACAACAGAACCAGCCACTCCAGAACCAACCACTCCAGAACCAACCACTCAAGAACCAGCCACTTCAGAACCAACCACTACAGAACCAGCCACTTCAGAACCAGCCACTCCATAACCAACCACTTCAGAACCAACCACTTCAGAACCAGCCACTTCAGAACCAGCCACTTCAGAACCAACCACTTCAGAACCAGCCACTTCAGAACCAGCCACTTCAGAACCAACCACTTCAGAACCAACCACTTCAGAACCAACCACTTCAGAACCAACCACTCCAGAACCAACCACTTCAGAACCAACCACTCCAGAACCAACCACTCCAGAACCAATTACTCCAGAACCAGCCACTCCAGAACCAACCACTCCAGAACCAACCACTTCAGAACCAACCACTCCAGAACCAACCACTTCAGAACCAACCACTCCAGAACCAACCACTCCAGAACCAATTACTCCAGAACCAGCCACTCCAGAACCAACCACTTCAACAGTAAAAACGTCATTACCAACAATTATTAAGCACCATAACTAAGAACACCATCACCAACATCACTAGCACCATAACTAAGAACACCATCACCAACATCACTAGCACCATAACTAAGAACACCATCACCAACATCACTAGCACCATAACTAAGAACACCATCACCATCATCACTAGCACCATAACTAAGAACACCATCACCATCATCACTAGCACCATAACTAAGAACACCATCACCATCATCACTAGCACCATAACTAAGAACACCATCACCAACATCACTAGCACCATAACTAAGAACACCATCACCATCATCACTAGCACCATAACCAAGAACACGGAGGTGAACGAAGGGGTGAGAATATCTCTGGGGTTAATGGGAAGGTCGACCATACTGTGAGTATTGTACCAATTGTCTATGTTACCTTGTGTTTGAACTTTAGGAAATGATCATCCAGTTGGTACAGGGTGGCAGTCTAACGACTGAGGTAACTAGGTACTCACTGGGTGTCGTTAACCTGCGTGGTATCGCCTGTAAGTGGAATTGTGTCAGGTCGGTTGAGTGGGACACATAATGGTTATTTGTGACTACATTTTTTAGTTCTTTATTGACACTGAACGAATCAGTGTCAATATTTTAAGTACATAGTCAGTATTGAAGTATTGTTTAACACTGAACGAGTTTGTGGACTTGTTAGTACTGTGCATTGTGTTTACATGTTTACATTTTGTTAGGGGGCCTCGTAGCCTGGTGGATAGCGCGCAGGACTCGTAATTCTGTGGCGCGGGTTCGATTCCCGCACGAGGCAGAAACAAATGGGCAAAGTTTCTTTCACCCTGAATGCCCCTGTTACCTAGCAGTAAATAGGTACCTGGGAGTTAGTCAGCTGTCACGGGCTGCTTCCTGGGGGTGGAGGCCTGGTCGAGGACCGGGCCGCGGGGACACTAAAGCCCCGAAATTAACTCAAGATACATGAGTACTTTTCTTCATGTTGTTACTGGTCAGCGGGACCACTTGCATAATATTTATCGTGTGTCATGTTATGTGCTATCGTGTGCTGGAATTATTATTGTTGGGTATGATTTATATGTTTTGATGACCAAACCACACATCAGAAGTTAAAGAACCGACGACGTTTCGGTCCGTCCTGGAGCATGTCGAACACACGACTCGATAATGGTCCAGAACTGACTGAAACGTCGTTTCTCCATCTTCTGATGTGTGGGTAGGTCGTCATATCTTCTGATGTGTGGGTAGGTCGTCATATCTTCTGATGTGTGGGTAGGTCGTCATATCTTCTGATGTGTGGGTAGGTCGTCATATCTTCTGATGTGTGGGTAGGTCGTCATATCTTCTGATGTGTGGGTAGGTCGTCATATCTTCTGATGTGTGGGTAGGTCGTCATATCTTCTGATGTGTGGGTAGGTCGTCATATCTTCTGATGTGTGGGTAGGTCGTCATATCTTCTGATGTGTGGGTAGGTCGTCATATCTTCTGATGTGTGGGTAGGTCGTCATATCTTCTGATGTGTGGGTAGGTCGTCATATCTTCAGCCTCGTTGTTGTGACTCATCCTCGGCATAGGTTTGTGTTTTAGATAGATGCACGTATCATATATGTATGCCTCAGCATGTATTGTTGTGAATACATGCAAATCGCCTGACATTTGTGTTTTAAGTGTCCAATGATACACCAGACATTGACCCTTGTGTTGCTTGTGTAAAGAGAGTTGTTCACGTGTGTTTCAGTTAGATCACTGTGTGCTTTACAAGAAACGAGAGGCAACTTCTCTAATTTGCTTAGTTTTCTTGGTCAAGCTCTGTGTTAACGTAACCAACCCGTGTTTATTAGAATTAATTATACTTAACAATAATTTTAATAAATTAGTGTTACGTTACACACGCTTTCTATTAAACCTTTTTCCCAGTACCATTAATGTGTACAACTTCATTATTTCCTTATTTTATTTCGTGGCATGGGGCACCCAACTACCTGGGCCGAACAGTAGAGCGACGGTCTCGCTTACTGCAGGTTGTGGGATATTTTCCTAGCAGGCATTTATTGTTTTTATTATTTTTTTTTATTTCTTAATTTATTTATATTGAATTATTTATAGACTTATTGATTTACTTTACATTTATTTTTTCAAAGTGGACTGTATTTCAAAGTTTTTCTTGCTAGGTGTTTACATGTACACATAGTCTATTAATCAAATAAATGATAATTCTACTGATAAAATTAATTGGGTTATTATTACAGCTAAACTAGATTAGTACAAAGTAGGCAAGGGCCTCAGATGTTTGGGTAGTGTGAGAGCTGGTCCTCCTTTACATTAGACTTTGGTTGGCCACATGTGGACCGTCTGGTCCTGTTAATGGTGGCTGTTGGTCTTTGTTAAAGCAAAAATAGCGTCGGTACAGGTTATGTATGTGTTAAAGCTCTCTGATGTCTCATGAATCACGCTTTACCTGCCAACAAGTTAAACTATAAAATCTGACATTAACATGTACGGTACAGGTGGGACACAGGAAATTTGGGTTGTTATAATAATGAGGCTTACCCTTGTTGGGGTTTTGCCCCTCTTTCATAACCGAAATGAATCTAATATCATCAGTCCTAAACATAGCTAAGTTATTCAATACGGATATAAAGGAACTTCAGTTAGCGAAGTCGCTGTGGCAATTTCACTGTTGGTCGACTTCTAATTTTGGGTCCTTGAAGTGAAGAGTATTGCGAAAAACCCACACGAGGAGCCCTGTCTGTTTTGTTTAAATTCTGTCCAGTCTTCCCCAGAGCCATGTCTCCAGAGATTTGGTTCTATACCTGACTTCATTTGACAATAGGAAAGGAGCCTTTATGTTTATAATATATTTCATAAAGTTTATGCATAGAAAACACTTTTCTATTAATTCTAATGCTTACACTTGAAGTTTAAGGAATACTTGTGTTTTAAATATATGCTGTAACGTGACGTTACGGATATTCCACTTTCTGTAATCTCTTTACTGTCTAACTAAAGGAAATAAACATCATTTTATAGCGGTTATTTTATTAGTATGTTGGTGTCGACTTTTCGACATAATTCCGTGGGGGAGGGAGGAGAAACACCTGTCGAAGTCCAATAATTACGACTGCTGAACACTTCATTCCTCTCCTACAGAATTATAATGCTGTCTTAATTTCTATATGCACTGTTGTGCGGCAGTCCTTTCTGGATGGATGCCCTGTCCTGGAGCTGCAGGTTTTGAAAGTCTTTGAGCAACTACTTTTCCAGTCAGCTCTAAGGGAACCAGTTTCTCTGAGGTTTAGAGAGTAGTAGTGCCTCAGCACTTTACTTTCACTATTCTCAAGATACCCTGATGGTCTGGATGAACAGAGACTATACGTCCTATACACCACTCTGAGCGTGGTCCATCACTGTCCACCAGAACAATGTCACCGGGGTTTAAGATACCTTATCATTTGCGCATTTCTTCTGTTACCATTATACTATTCTTGTCCTAGATTTGGGTGGTGTGAGATAGCTCTGTATTTGCTAGGGTTTGAATGTATATTTATTTTATGACGACTTTAAATATATATATATATATATATATATATATATATATATATATATATATATATATATATATATATATATATATATATATATATATATATACGCCCTAAACCAGAAAATAATAAATACAGAATATGCGGTCATATTCAATGAAACATATATATATATATATATATATATATATATATATATATATATATATATATATATATATATATATATATATATATATATATATATATATATGCGAACAAGCCTGAATGGTCCCCAGGACTATATGCGAATGAAAACTCACACCCCAGAAGTGACTCGAACCATACTCCCAGGAGCAACGCAACTGGTAACTACAGGGCGCCTTAATCCACTTGACCATCACGGCCGTCAAAAGGAAGTGATAGCCGAGGCTATTTGAGCCACTTCCCCGACGGCAACTATATATATATATATATATATATATATATATATATATATATATATATATATATATATATATATATATATATACATATACATATAAAATATATATATAATATATATATATAATATATATATAATATATATATAATATATATATAATATATATATATAAATAATATATATATATATATATATATATGCGAACAAGCTGAATGGTCCCCAGGACATATGCAACTGAAAACACACACCCCAGAAGTGACTCGAACCCATACTCCCAGAAGCAACGCAACTGGTATGTACAAGACGCCTTAATCCACTTGACCATCACGACCGGACATAATGAGGTGATAGCCGAGGCTATATGAACCACCCCACCGCCGGCACTCGGATAGTTATCTTGGGCATAGCATTTTACCAAATCACCTCATTCTTTGGGGCACACGTGAGGAACACAAATGCGAACAAGCCTGAATGGTCCCCAGGACATATGCAACTGAAAACTCACACCCCAGAAGTGACTCGAACCCATACTCCCAGAAGCAACGCAACTGGTATGTACAAGACGCCTTAATCCACTTGACCATCACGACCGGACATAATGAGGTGATAGCCGAGGCTATATGAACCACCCCACCGCCGGCACTCGGATAGTTATCTTGGGCATAGCATTTTACCAAATCACCTCATTCTTTGGGTCACACGTGAGGAACACAAATGCGAACAAGCCTGAATGGTCCCCAGGACATATGCAACTGAAAACTCACACCCCAGAAGTGACTCGAACCCATACTCCCAGAAGCAACGCAACTGGTATGTACAAGACGCCTTAATCCACTTGACCATCACGACCGGACATAATGAGGTGATAGCCGAGGCTATATGAACCACCCCACCGCCGGCACTCGGATAGTTATCTTGGGCATAGCATTTTACCAAATCACCTCATTCTTTGGGGCACACGTGAGGAACACAAATGCGAACAAGCCTGAATGGTCCCCAGGACATATGCAACTGAAAACTCACACCCCAGAAGTGACTCGAACCCATACTCCCAGAAGCAACGCAACTG